TTAATCAAGTCAGAAATCAATTGATTAAGGTATGTTCCGCGGCAATTCAGTTTCTTGATGGTTTGACATGAAGATCTTGGCAAGATCATAAAATTCAAGTTTTAATAAAGTTCTAACAAGATGTTCATGAAAGACTATAGAAGCATGCTGAACATTGTGAAGAAACCAAGTCTAGAACGTCGTGTTGAGGACCTGTTTGAGCATTGTCGAAAGAAATCCAATGTAATTCATGATAATGTAGGAGACTTACATAGCATGTTGCTAGATTATTACTTTACCATAAAATGTTCTGGAAGGGCTAATCATAGAATTTGGATAATCCAACCATTCATTCATAGGAAGTGTAACTATTTAAGGCCACAAAAGCTCATTTGTAAAACCTCTAAGTAGAGATACAAGTAAATATGGTTAAAAAGTTCTTTCATAAGGACGCGTATGAGTTCTTAAACACAATTACTACATCAAAGAGTTTTTAATATACACAGTAGGAACTTAGATAAGGCAAGAGTGAGCTTGTAAACACTAGGTAAAGGTGAGAGGGCGCAAAATTGTTTATGGTTAAAAGCTAAAAATAGCTGGACAATAGGCGAGGAATATGGGCAAAAACCAATCCGAACTAGTCAAACCGATCAACCCAACCCAAATCAACCGATTTGGATTGGTTTTTTTTAGTTCAATTGGGTTGTGTTTGGGTTAGGAAATCAAATTTTAGGTCGGGTTGGATTGAGTTCCGGGTTATCTATTAAAACACAATCCAACTCAATACATTAAAAAATATTAAAAAGAAAATTAGTATTTAAAACCAAAAACTAAAAACTTAATGATCAAAATTCTCCTCTGCCTCACGTCTCTTCTGTCTCTCATTGCTGCTCGTGCCTCGACTTCTCGACTCGATTTTTGACGTGATTTTTGACTAAACATTCGGATTGAAGGATGAAATTTTATATTGAGTTTCAATTTGAATTATTGTCAAATCGAATATATTGAGTTGGATTTGGGTTGAACTCAAAACCAATTCAGCCCAGCCCTACCCTAGCAAGGAGCATATATGTAGAAAAAGCTCTAAGGATGCGTTTGATTGCAAGAGTGGAAAATTGGTGGAAAGAAAATGTTTTATAAGGAAAAGATTTGCCTAAAAAATGTTTTGTATGGAAAATGATTTCAAGTGTGTTTGATTGGTATAATTTTTCACCCGGAAAATTTTTAAATTTTCTATTCGTTTGGCTTTATTTTACATGAAAATTGTCCATTAAAGTGATTTTTTTTCCACAGTTGGTTATAA